TCAGCCCCTGTAGCACCCTGACTTCTACTTGCTCATGCACTTGGGCTCCTTTGTCTCACACTAGAGAGTAAGCTCTGTGAGGGCAGGGAAGAAAGCCCTGTGAGCAGAGTGAGGCCGTCATCCATGACCACAGCTTCAGCATCTAGGTGGGGCGTGGGGCTCCTGAAAACCACCCTGATAGGGCCCAAACAAATGAGGCTCAAAAGAGAAGCCAAGAATAGGGCCTGAGGTGAAATCCATGCCCATCCACAAGGTGGCAGCACGCTTCATTTTTAGCTGATGTATCCACCTGGGCTAATTTCATCTATTGTCATAATAAAGTTTTAAAACTAATAATAAAAAAAGTAGACTGGCATTTAACTTTATTATTGTTTTATTTTATTATCATTATTATTAAAAAACTATATATAACAACAGCAGCAACAGCAAATTGACCTGAAGGCCACACTTAATATTTCGACTTACTGTGTCAATCTAGAATTCGTTTTTTTAGTGGGTGGAATCAATGGATACACTTTTTTTTTTTCTGGATTCAAGTTTCTTACAGCTACTCTAAATTTCAAAGGCTGGAATAGGTTGTGCCTTCTCAGTTAAATTTTTATTTGTTTGGGTTTCTTGGTGTAAGGACATGAAAGGTCAAAATCAAAAGTTGAACTTGAAAACTTCTCTTTCAAAAGCAACCCCAGCCTCATCTTCCTTGGCATCTCTAACAAAGTCAGGTTTTCCCGGCAGCCCATAGGCCTTGTGAGGAAGGCTCTAACCGCAGTGTGGTGAAATTCTCGCTTTGAGATGTGGGTCACCCCAAAAGGAAGGGAGGGACATGAAAGCCACAGAATCGGCTTCTGGGTGCTTGGTAACTTAGCTTGGTAACCTCTTATAAACAAACCGGTGAGAGGCAACAATGGCTCAGTTCCCTCCAATGTTCCCCACCCCCTCCCATCTAGCTTACATCACAGGGAGAGGCTGAAGGAGATACTGAGAACTCTGAGTTATAGATACTCAGGACTTGAGTTCCTTTTAAGCCTCATTCTTTATCCTTGGGACTCCTATAAGCAGCGATTGGATGCAGTGTGGGACTTGCCCAGAGACATGCAGGGTGAGGGATATCAGTCTCAGTCCTTACAGAGCTGGCACATCAGATTCTTGAGCTGCCCAATGCTTCCGTTCAAGACCAAGGCACTCATTTCCCCAGCTGCCAGGGGTGTTTGTTGAAAGCTCACACTTGACTCATTCTCCAAGGTAACACCCCCTCCTTGGGGGGCAGCCCATATCCAAGATCCAGTTTATGTACCCCAGAAGAGGGTAGGCAAGAAAGACCTAATTGCCTGGCATCAGCTGGGTTCATCATAACGGCCATCTTTATTCCAGATTCCCCTCATGGCACTGGCTGAGGTCTCCAGTTGACTGCATCACGGCCCAGCTTGTGCCTGTGACCAATCCTGTTTCCCTTTTTTCATCTCATAGGAATTGCTTTGCAAGGCACCCCTCAACACACCTGCTGCACGCAGGTATGCACATCTGAGTCTGTTTCTTAGGAGAAACCAGCCTGCGATAGTCCCTGCTTTGGCCTCTTCACTCAATGTTCTCTCTCCTTTGGGGACTGTAATTGTTTTGAATACTTCTGTGCTCATTATAAAGGAGTCCCCCCAAAGCTCTCTTCCTGCTGCGCTCATGCTCCCAGTTCTCCCACTTATATTTCTTACAGCCCAGTGAAAATCTTTACTTGAATATCCACCTTTTTTCCCCCAGTATCAAATTTAGCATTTTAAAAGACAGAGCTTTTATTGTTATTCTAATTCCCTGTTCCACTTGACTACCCTATTCCTATTAATGCTGCTACTACCTTCGCACTCCCAGGTTGGACACCTCATCATTCTGCTGCACAGCCTTCTGCAGACTAAACCTAAGTGTCCTTTTGGTGCCAACAGAGCACAAGTCCATCTTCCCTATCCTTGTGAATACAAGACCTTCTCTGTTGGTCCCACTCAGCATGATTTCCTGCCAAACTTCTAATCATGGATTTAATATTTTTGTGGCTCAGACTCTGTAGAGAGTAGGATGAAACCTGAGGGCCCTCTCTCATAATGATTTATAAGTAGAAAATAAAAGTATAGAAGATTACAAAGGGGGGTTAATCATATTTAAAGTTTGGGGATATGTATTTTAAAATTTACCATAGAGTAATATATATTTCATTACTAACACATTCAGAGGAAGGATCTATGGCAGGTTCAGTACTTACTGTGATTTTGAAATAGGTGTGAGTGGAACAGTATATCCAGATATTGGGAGTAACAGTAATCAGACATGAGAGTATCTTTGGGTCCTATCAGAGACAAGGTAACAGCTACTGCAGATACTACCGCAGTGTGCTACCTGTATTAATAATGCAGCCAATTCTCAGTTCCAATTAGAAGTCTGTGACAATAAGGTAATTTTTCCCCCCATTCCAGATACACGGACTCCAGTTACATACCTCTGTGCAGTGGAGAGTCTACTGTAGCTCCAATTGTGTATGCACACTTTTCAAAACAAATGTTATGCATGCCACATCTCATCCTGGTAAAGGCTGGATAACTGGTACTATGAAACTGGGCTAAGCTGGATCATTTTCCATGTGGATCCCTCTACCACAAGTGGGCCAAGGTTTGGTCCCCAGAGTGATGCGGCTCACAGTCTGCTAAGAGACGAACCCATTTGCACAGCTCCCTGAAAGTATCTTCCCTGGTTTTTCTCCTCTCTGCTCTTGGGCCTTGTCTGAGTGACCAAGATTCCCTGGGAATCAGGCTCATCAGGGAAGCTCCTGGCCAGGAGGCAAGAGATTGAGCATTTGGAAAAAGAAATTGTGACAAAGATGACACTTGGAGCTCTAGAGAGGCCGCTGCCACTCTGGGGACTTTTCTTGAGCCTTGGCAGCTGGATACCAGCTGTCAAACATTCAGTACTGTGTGGGACAGTCCTGTACTATCACTGTCCATGCTAAGACATCAACCATGCTCTCGGTAATGCCGGCTGGCCTGGGGTACCAGTAGCTGAGGTAGGATCTGTCAACGGGCATTACTCTGGATTCCACCAGTCCTCCCAGGCCTGAATCTGCTGTGACCTTTACAGATAGCCCTCCGGCTGAGGAGCTTGCAGTGGTGAGAAGGGGCCTCTCTGCACCTGGTGGCCCCTGCAGCTATCAGTTCCAAATCTAAGCTGTCAGGTGTGGGCCTTGGCTAGGAGATACCTGGGCCTGACAGTTACCGCTAAAGTAGAAGAAGTGAGCAGGCAAATGCTTTCAATTTCCTGCAGATGCCTCATGGCTGCCTTAGTGGCTATGCCCTGGGAAAAGGGAGGCCCATCTTGTACAGCCTCCACCCTGTTGCTAGGGCTAGGGCTTGTTCATTCTCCTCTGGAGAAGAATTGGCTAGTTCCCCCTGTGTTTTTTTTTGTGGGTAAACTATTTCTAGGGAGGTGCTGTCACAAGTCATCCTGCTGCTCACTGCCTTAGCTTTCCATGAGCCAATCTAAGGCTCCTAAAAATACCTGGTCCCCATTTTGCAGGCCCCAATGCACTAGGAAACGCCTGCAACCCACAGTTTGTGAAGTGATTTCTTTTGTTACTTTGACTTGCATTCTGATAAACAGGATTAGTCATGTATTGTAAAAACAATATTCTATGACGTTGAAATTATATCCCTTAGCAATAATGAATACTTACGTAAGGTCTACTTATAGTGCTTTATACATTAAAAAGCACATTATATATTAGGTTGAACCATATAAAATTGCTGATATCCCACCACTTTGGGTGATTTCACGGGGCTCAATCTAATTCATTTCCACATCTATCATCACACTCTTGGATAGATTTTTTTTTCTTGCTTCATTTTGCAGAGTAATAGATCTTGGAGAAGTGAGATGATTTTTGACTCAGATCTTTGCGACTTGAGCTAAATCTATCTGACGCCAACCCCATGTTCTTAATTTCGAAGGTCCATTGATTCAGTTCTCAAGACTAAAAGCAATCATGTAAGGAGTGGAAGCCCATGCGGCTAGTTTTCTAGATTATTGTTAGGAAGCCCCTAACAGGTTTTACTCCTCACCTTCTAGTTAGTGGAGGAGATCAGTGGGTATATAGGTAACTACTATAGAAGGCTGCAAAGTGATGACGTGACAGATTTTAGTTGGAGGGGTGTGGAAGCAGGAGATACAGCAAGCATGTTAACTCATCTGTGCTTTCACACATCCATTCAAGGGTGCTCTGCTAGGTGTCACCCATGCCTGTGCCAGGCTCTATACTATGTGCTGAACTACCGACACTCAGAGAAGAGGAGTCCTCAGTGGGCTTCTGATCAGTTGGGGAAGGGGGCTGCAGCAGTGGAATCCAAGATGAGGTCATTGCAAGCAGGTGAAACTGCTCTGTCTCGCTAGGCCAGACAGAATTTACTGGGAGACTACAGCTTGTGACACCAGGCACAAGAACCCAAGTTTTGAGGAGTCTGATGCCCCTTAGAGTTTCTAGACTGCAAGGCTTGGGGAAGCACCAGCAGGAATGCAAAAGGAATGCTTGTGTTCCACGCTTAGGCCTGGGGAGACAGCAGAGGTGTGGCTCCTGCAAAAGAGCTCCCCCCGAGTCAGCCAAAGGAAGAAATTCCTTTCTCCTGCCCCAAAGCTGCTTTGAATGCTTGGCTTAGCCTGGCTTTGGCTGTGGACTTGGCTTCCAGCTGGGGGAAGGCTGGTTTAGACACCAGTCTGTAAGTGGGCACAGGCCAACGCCTCTGCCCAGGGGCTTTGTGTGGTCCTGCAGGGCATAACCACATTTCTCAGCTTCCTGCCAATGCCCGGGCTGAGCCCTTAAGCCTGCTGTGGAGTCCAGAAGCTTTCCAAACCTGCTATGGCCTTCCCAATCCCCAAGACTACAGCTGCCTGCTTGTTCCTTTCCTACCAACACCTATACAGGCCCCAAACCCCCACGCTCCAACCCCCCAAAGTGAATCCAATTTCAGCATGCTTACCGTTCCAGGCTGTAGGCTGTGCTGCCATGGCTGTCACCACTGCCCCCCGGGACCACAGCAGCTGTGGGGCCACCCAGTTAAGATCTCACAGTTGAGTGAGTCACGTTGTGGGTTCCTCCTGCCACACCCTCCCCGACCCCAGCAGCAGGGCTTTCCTCAGAGTCACATTACCACACACTCTGCTTTTGAAAAAAGGAAATTGAAAAAAGGTACTGGATCTTGAGTGCAATGAGAAACATGAGAAAAAGCTGTAACAGAAGCAATTGTCAAGGCAGAGAAAGGGGAAGCTGCGATCGGCCTCAGATTATCACCTCCGGAGCACCCTAGCCCTTGCCTCATCGCTGTGGCCTGCAGAGCTAGGGGACTGTACAGAGCAGGGCAATCTTTTGTACTAAGGCATCTGTTCTGTTCTGCCCTCAACCAGCACGGGTGAGTTTATGAGAAGCTCCAGGAGTTGGTGAAGCCGAGGTTTTTGTCCTCAGCATTTGACCTTCTAATCCATTACAACCATGGAGACATTGCCTAAGTGAAATTTCCAACGGCTCTGCTTGACCTCCACTGCCTAAATGGTGTCCACCAATCACAAGTGGTTCTCAAATACATGACTGGTAGCCACTGTTTGGACAGTAGGGGGCCTAGTCTGAACTGAAAGTGTAAAACACAACATATTTTAACACTCAATATGAATTAAAAGCGGCTGGCACAGTAGCATGGGGTAAAGCCATGAGCAGCGGTGCTGTTTCTCATATGGGTACCAATGCATGTCTTGGCTGCTCCACTCCTGATTCAGCTCCCTACTAATGCACCAGGAAAGCAGCTGATGATAGCACAAGTACTTCCCCCCCCCCGCCCCCCCCCACACACACATTGGGAAGTCCAGAAGAAGCTCCTGGATTCTGGCTTCAGCCTGGCTCTGCCCTGGTCTTTGTGGCCATCTGGGGAGTGAACCAGCAGATAACGTTGACTTTCAAATAAATAAAATTTTTAAAATCAAAGAATCAAGGAATGTAAAATATCTCTGATTTTTTTTTTTTGTGGAGATGCCAGTTTATTACCTTCTTAAAAGGAACTGAGTTATTTCTTCTTTTAAAATTAAGTATTTGAGAAGATTGGCTTTGATTTTGTAAGCATTAATAATTTTTCTTTTGTAATATGTAATTATTCTTGCTTATGTAAAAGGAACAAATGTCATGTATTTCACATGTACAATCTTAAGAGCATAATGATGCTTTCTACCTAACCCTCCCTCTCTTGCTCCCACACTCCCTCCACCACCCTTTTGTGTTTTTGTTTCAATTTTACAATGACATATTATCAATTTACTTTATAATCACATGATTAACCCTCCACTAAGAATTCAGTAAGTGGTACTTTTTTTCTTAAAGACATTATCCAAAATTTAAAAATTTGTTCCTCAAAAACACTTTTAAAAATTGTTTATGGGCCTGGCATGGTGGCCTAGTGGCTAAAGTCATCGCCTTGAATGTGGCGCCCGGGATCCCATATGGGTGCTGGTTCTAATCCCAGCAGCTCTACTACCCATCCGGCTCCCTGCTTATGGTCTGGGAAATTAGTCAAGGACGGCCCAAAGCTTTGGGACCCTGCACCCGTGTGGGAGACCCGGAGGAGTTTCCTGGCTTCTGATTGGCTCAGCACTGGCTGTTGCAGCCGCTTGGGGAGTGAATCATCGGAAGGAAGACCTTCCTCTGTCTCTCCTCCTCTCTCTATATCTGACTTTGCAATAAAAATAAATCTTTAAAAAAATATAAAAAATACTTGTTTTTATTGAAAAGGCAGATCAGATTTATGGAGAGAAGGAGATAGAGAAAGAAAGATCTTCTACCTGCTGGATTACAACCCAAATAGCTGCGACGGCTAGAGCTGAGCCAATCTGAAGCCAGAAGACAGGAGCTTCTTTTGGGTCTCCCATGCAGTTGCAAGGACCCAAGGCTTTGGGGCATTCTCCGCTTCTCTGCTTTCCCAGGCCACAAGCAGGAAGCTGGATGGAAGTGTAGCAGCTGGGACACAAATCAGTCCCCATATGGGATGCTGTGCTTGGAGGTGAAGGATTAGCTATTTGAGCCATTGCACCGGCCCCAATAAGTACTAATCTCTAATGTGGATTACATGTTGAGATTTTATTCATGATATATTAGATTAAATATAGTATTCATTTTTAAAAGACTCATTTACGTATTTGGGAGAGAGCCCTGGTTGTTTCCCAAAGTGCCTGCATCAGTCATGGCTAGGCCAGACCAAAGCCAGACGTAGGAAACTCCATCTGGGTCTCCCACATGGATGGCAGGAACCCAAGTACTTGGGAAGTTGTCTGATGTGCCCCCTCCCCCTCTCCATATGCATTAGCAAAAGCTGGATCAAAAGAACGGAGTGGCTGGAACTTGAACCACGCCCTCCAATATGGGATGCAGACAATAGACAGCTTAACTGCAGCACCAGAATGCCTATCCTGTTGTTACGATTAATTTCATCTTCTGTGCTAGAACACACAAGTAATTGCTAGTATTGATGGCCTTGGGGGAGTGTGAGGAGAGCTTTGGGGGGGGGAAGGGGGAAATATTTCAACCTGTACTTATCATGGGAAACCCATACTACCTTTTTTTTCTTTGAAGTTTTAACAACACATGTGTCATTTTACAAAAATAAAATGATTAAATGTCATTATTTCGTATATTTTAACATAATTCTACTATAATGTTCATGAAACTTAAAATACAAAATAAACACAATAAGTTGGTTGGTATCATTCATTTGGCTGCTTTATTTCTGTTTTGCAAATATCCCCTCAATTCCTCTTTCCTATTCCTTCTTTTTCGCCTTCTTATTTCCTCAGCTTCTCTTTCCTCTAATTTTCAAAACCCACAAGAATCTGGGACTAAGAAGGCATTCCACTTCTGTTGGCTTCTTGTTTGGCTTGAGCTGAAAGCTTTGGTACTTCCTGCTATCTCTGAAGGCTCAAGAAGAGTGCCACAATGGATAATGCTTGATTCCAGACAGCACTGTCAAAGATGGCTAGCTCAGTTGTAGCACCTGTGGAGACAGCCCTGCCATTTCTCCCATATTCACGTTTAGATAGAACTGTTTAAAGAGAAAAATAACTTCAGAAAATGTGTGTGTGTGTGTGTGTGTGCACACGCGCACATGCGCGTGCACGCGATTTCTTTCTTTCCTGGTTTAAGGATGAGTGGAGGCAGGGTACATGCAGGAGGCTTTAGAGAGAGCAGGCTTGGTCCAAATTTGGGAAACCAATTTAATTGCCATCTGCAGTTAAAAAAAAAACGCTAAGAGGATGAAGTGTTTTGAAAAAAGAACTACAGAGGTTGGAGAAAGGGAAAAAGCTCTCTAGCTTCTGGGAAACAGGTATAATAAGAGATTTGTTTGCTCCAGGACAGATGGGAACCTCAGTCCTTAGGTTTAATTGAAAGAGGGAAAAAACAAGAGGTCTCAGCTGATTGTCAAGCAGATAATAGATCCTGAAGGGTGGGCCTGAAGGGTGGGCCTGCACAGATTGAGAAATGAAAAGCCCCATCATGTGTGTAGGGAACAAGTGGTGTGGGAAACTAGCAAATTGCCTTTTATGCCCATTCTTAATGCAAATGGAATAATCTGTTGCAAATAAAGACGGGCCTTGAATGTCTATTGGGATTTTTTTCTTTATCATGGGAACACCTGCCCCCTCCTCCCTCCAAAAAATAGCCAAACACTTGGCAGTGCACTAAGTGGAAAAAACACTGGACTGAGAGTCAGGGGACCCCTCTGATCCTAAGTTTGCAAAATACACAAGAAATGATTTGTGTGAGATTCCCTTGGAAACTATAAAGCATGGTCAAATGGGGTTAAGCGTGATTAACTGTAATGAAACTCAAGTTTGTCTTTGTTCCTTCCTGTCTTCTCCCTTTGCAGGTCCTCATCTCTTACAGCTGTTTGGCACAACACTACCGGGCTGAAGGTTTGAAAGGAATCCAGCTCAAAGAACATTTACTGGTCCCTAAGGAGAACACCTAGACTGGAGTGTGTTTTCAGCATTCTAAGTGGACAGAAAGCACATTATTTTTAAGAGAACATTCCATTCAAAATTTAGAAGCCAACAATTTCCCTTGAAGGGGAACTCTGCATTCAACATAAAGCTAGGATGCCATATATTTGGTTTTTATCATTTTATACAAAAGCCAATTTCCAAATGTAAATCTTGATTTAAAGAGAAATTTAGCCAATGACATTGCATTACTCTCCAGAAGGGAGACAGAAGAAATGTAACCCCCATGCAAAACTGTTCAGTACTCCTGGAACTGTCTTTGGGGCTCCAGTGGCTCAAATTTTAAGCCTCCAAACTGCCTAGGAATTGACCATTGTTTCCCATCACCACTCTAGCCCAGGCTGCTGCTGCTGCTAGAAGCTTCCTGAGTGAACCTTCAGTCCCCTCTCCAGCCTGCTGCATAGTCACAGCCAGCAGCCAGCACTTTAAAAGAGCAGCCTCCCCACATCTCTCCTCTGCTTGGGCTGTGGATGAGTGATTCTTTGGCAAATGTCCGCCTACAGGGTTTTCATGGCTCAAAAACCCCATGCTAGCAGGAACTGTGATCTGTTTTGCTCACCTCTGTGTCCCCAGGCCTGGCCTCAGGCCAAGCATATGGTAGACATTTATTTGTTGAATGGAGGATTGCATTTTAAGAGCTAACATTTGTACAGTGCTTTAAAGATAACAAACACGACCATGCATATTCTTGTCTTCATTTTGCAGATGAGGAAATTGATGCTGAGAGCATTGTCCAAGTCGTGGACACAGTTAATGCAGGGTATATTGAAATGCAAGCCTGTGGGAGGCAAAACCCGGTATCTTTTTTGGCTTCATCCCTCTGGAGAGTGTGGGGAGATGAGGAGTTCAGAATCACTTTGATGTTGCTTGGCTGTATAACAGGCCCTTTCTCTCTGGCCTTCGGGGTCCAGGGGCAGGCCCAGTGGGTATTCCCTGCCTACCAGCAAGGGTGGACTGCATTCTAAATCTGGCTTTCCTGGATGACTTAGAAAGCTACTCTAACTACAGTGACCTTATTTTCAGAATCTCAAAGCAGAATTCTTGGTCTGACAAAGAGAATAGAACACTCAAAACTGGGACTCTCCTGTCAAATCCAGGACACAGATTTGCTGCACCTGTACTACTTGGCAGCTACAGCATGGACACTTCTTAGTGAATTCTGCCCCAACCACTTCAGTTCATCACATCTCACGAAGATTCCTAAAAATTAAATAGAGCGGTTTTCTGGGCTTCATACCCATCCCTCCCCCAACCCCATTTACACATTTTATTTGTCTAATTACTTCCCTTATCACTCTTTTCTGTTAACTTTTTCCTGATCTGCCAGAAACAGCTTCTAGGTTCTGCTTGCTGCTGGATGCTATAAGCAAGTGAGAGAAATTGTAAGCAAAAGTTCTTGGAGACCATGGCAACAGAGCCATGGCAAGGGTGGGGGAGCTGGGCACTGAGACAGTCCTTCCCACCCTTCCTGGTTTCTATTTTAGACCATGTGGTGCTGGTAAGGCCCGATAGTTCCATTGTGTTATTTAATCAGCTAATGGTGTTTGCAAGAGGCGTCACATGGCACATTTTTTATTCTAGAAAGAACTTCGCAATGCTGTTGCTTCAA